CATAGCTTTTTCCTTTCATGATGTAAGGTTGCATGTATGGCACAAAAGAGGAAGGCCACTTTCTGCTGTCATTACTGCCATCATCCAACTTGTAGCTATCCATGTCCTTGCCTCTTTAGAGCTAAGGTTGTGCTCAGACCATCAGAGTATAGAGAGAAAAATGACATCTGTCTGTTAGAGAGCAGGACTGTGGAGCAGAGACAGAGGCGGGAGCAGTAGAGCGTGGCTCCAGGATTTAGATCAGGGATATTTCCATCATTGACAGGTCTTTAAACAGGGTAGGGTCTAATCTTTCCCAGACAGGCTTAAGAAAGGAAAACCTGACTGTTGTGTCTCGACAGATAGGGATTTAAGTAATTAGCATCATTAATAAGAGGGTGTAAGTCGGAGTCATATTCAAGGGTGTTGAGTTGAAGGGAAGATAACGCTGTAATGAGGAGAAAGCAATACAAGGATGCCCAACTATGTCAAAGTTCATTGCCAACATACAAACAAGTCAACATTTTAACAGCAATGAAGTTAATAAACTGTGTTTATCCGACTTTTACACAGTTGTCATGAAAATAGTATCTATGATGAACAAGCGAATTTTGATTTTAAACCAAAAGTGTCTGAGGCTGTGTCAGCAGAGTATGATGGCCAGCGGTTTGGAAACAATTTATCACTTTGGAAGCTTCTCTGTGGTATATTGGCAATATTGTTGTGTTTACAGAGCCTTGTTGATCTGTAAACACAACACAATTATGCAGTCGGATTGACATGGTTGAAATGCAACTCAGGTTTCCATGTCTTAAAAAAAATATTCGTATGGAGCGGCCCCAGGCAAACTGAATTATGAAATCCAAATCATACTTACAATATGTTTGAAGGCCTAATTTCAGAGATGATGGATGAGCTATGGCGGCTGAACGTAATCTTCAACATACTGCACTTTTAATGAATTACAGCTGTCAGCAATCACTGACATTGTTTTCTCAACATCACTCCCACTTCTCCCTCGTTATCTACACTGGAAAAACAGCAGAAGTTTAGCTAATAGGAGTGCATTCCCTCATTGCATTCCCCATTTCCGTGGCTGCCAACATTTCCTAATGACTGCAGCCCTTCTAAATTATTGAAAAACCCTAAGCACCTCACCAGCTACAGAAATGGCTATTAACCTTGGTGAAGCGATATTCAAATCCAGTTAGAGCTAGCTTCGTCCTCCGGTATTCCTTGCGGGGAGGAAATGTAAATGTGTTCTTGCTGAGACAGATGGGGAAGCCGCCCGTCGTTTGAAGTTCCAGCGAAAGAAGTCGTTGCAAGCAGAGGGCTCTCCACCCCCCTCCGTAAAATATTCAGGACCGAGTCTCAATGAGCCACCTCTGTTCCCAGTGCTCCCTTCAAACCATGCTGGGCTTCGACACTGTTCGGTTATTGCTAAGCAGGAACACCTTGCAAAAAATAAAAGACTTTGGCAAACATTTACAAATTCACCACTGTGCAGCGACAGTGAAAAACAGCCAGAGGATTATCTCGCTGTGCAGACAGGAATTCAGGAGATTTGATTTATGAGACAAAGACAGGGAGAGTGAGAAAGAGCAGGAGAGGGAAACATCCCACTCCCCCCTTTAAGAGCATCCTGGGGCCTAACCATCTGAATATTGTGACGCTTCCTTTGGATTGATGTTGACGAATGATCGCAAATTGATTTCCTGGGCTTAGCTGACGTACTGCCAAAGCTGATTTGATTCTATTGTAGAGATACCTGACTGTCAATCAGTGCAGGCTGATACTGTGCTACAGACCAGAGAGAATCCCTGATCATTACTCTTATCACCTGGGCCGATAGAGAGACACAGAGAGAGGGGAATAAAGAGGAGAGAGAGAGACATGTGGAGGCAGTGGAAGAGAAGCGGGTTCAACGGCCAAAAGAGGTGAGATCAGAATTGTTGCAACAGAAATGTACTCTCTGAGGACATGACACTTCATACACCGCTGAGTAAAACAATATTTGTTGGGAACACTGGCAGCCTCACAGAGTGTTGCAGATTGCATTTACAAACACAGTACAGAGTAGGTGAGAAAAGCCAGAAAAAACATTGTAGACCAAGAGTAACAATATTATAGTCAATATGAAGTATTTTCATTTATTTATTTCGGTTATATTTATTATATACATAACATTGTATATTTTGTGATATACATGTTGTTTATTGTAGTACAATGTGGACATTTTTAAATACGTTACTGTACCTTTATATCAATGTTATACATAAAACTAAACATTGGGTTATTTAACTATTTTATTTTATGTTTAATCTGACATTGTTACACTATTTCCTATGTTCATATAATTATCTTTATTATTTTCTTTATTCCACAGTCTTTACTTCAACATAACCCCTAACCTGTTGACACTATGTAACATCTGCTGAAAACTGTTCATTTGAATTATAGCAAATATATAATATAATTGTATTAATCACATACCTAAATACCAAAAAATACCTCAGCCATCAAATTGGGTCACCCGTTGCCTTCAGACAAGCTTTCGCTGTTATCCATATTTTTATCAATTAATTTGGGGATGTAGTATTGTGTCATTCTTAAGGGAATACTGCCAATAAAGCAAAAAGTGCTATAGCGCCCCCTACAAAGTTGCCAAAAGGCAGCCCCTTGCTCAGGTTTCACCAAAAAATGTGGTAGGTATATGTAACAAGGTGAGATGCACAAAAAAAAACGACAGGGAGTCGGCCATTTTTGTTGTTTACCCATTCGATAAGCAAAGACAGCTTCTACATATTTCAAACAAACATAATTATGAAAAAAAAGTAAAAGTGGTCTTTGCATGCATCCTTAGGATATTGTCTTTGTTAGGGAATAATTTGCTTAGGTATTCAACCTTGGACACAGTTCATCATTTTCTCCTCTCACTGTCTCTTTTCCCATGGCATAGTTCTACGGCCTTGGGTATTGCTGCTATCTCTCTTAAGGAGGGGCAGCTTGGGCGCATTGTTGTTGCCAGTCTATGACAGAGCACAAGCTGCCATGAGGTAGTTTACTATTCAGGGACGAAGGTTCCCTGGCGCACATTCTTTTCTATGGACGAGAGCTCTAGTTAGATTCAGGGTCCATATTTGTTTAGTCTCGCTGATGCCGAACTAGTTAAAACCTTGAGCTGCAGAAGAGTTCTCCAGAATTGGTTTGGCAACCGCTGTGTCAACTCGTGATACACCACATGTCTTGTGAATTCTCCGGCCGTAACTCCAAATAAACCGCCAGTGTTTGCCATCAAAGCTCCAGCTCTGCATCGTGTCTCTCTGAGTCCTGTTTCCAATTGCTTCAGAAGTTTCCCCCACAGTCTTCACAGGCACAGTCATCTTAGGCTCTTTACTTTAAATAAAAACAGTATTAGTGTTTCGCAAGAGCAATGGATTATAAAGACAACATAAGCCTCCTTCCCCATGTTTTAAATAACAGCAAGTTTAACCCCAGGTAAGATGGCTGCCATATGGTTGCATCGCGGAGCTGAAAGTCATTAAAGCATTACACATCCTTTGTCAAACACAGTGTGCCTACAGGACTGGACCAGTGTTTACACTATCAACTTGTTACATTACATGTCACTTGTTAGACGCGTTTATCCAAAGCGACTTACATACCCAGGGACACAACGACATGCTGACTGCAGTGGGGTTTGAACCTGTGCTCCCCTGATCCGAACACCAACGCACTTGTCCACTGCGCCCCACGCCTCCCACTTACTGTTACTGCTCTCAACTTTCAGGCAGGACATTTGCACCACACGGACACAATTCTATAAGACAGATCCCTGATGCCGACTGAGAAGAAAAAAATGAAGCAGAGCAAACTGATATATCTATCCTGTTCTCCTAAAAAAATGTAATGCTTTACAAAAAAATCTACATTCTCAGAAAGCGTGCATTTGTTTGTTAGCCAATACAAGTCAGACAGGGGGTTGCATTTATAAACATTTATTGGGGCTTTGGCAGCCTTTTGAAACATTCTGCTTGTAATCATGAGGTTTAATGCTTTGTTTGCAAAACAGATGACGATGTCACTGTAATAATTTGCCATTGTGAAAGTAGAAAACATAATCGGTTAAATCCTGCAAGCTGTTGTTCAAAGCACGGAAAAAGACACCGGAGGATCAAAGTACACAAGTTGACCTTTTCACTGTGGGCTTATCTGAGATAGGGCTCAGGTTAGCTATGTCTCTAAGTTGGTTTCAATACTAAACTGTGAACAAGTGTGTGCTTGTTAATGAACCAAAGCTCACTGAAAATATACTAAACAAAAAAATATGATGTCACGAAAATCTGACCTTCAAAATAAATGTGCTTATTCAATTTAAATTGCATATAAACACCCACAATTACACAGGGATATACATGCGGAGACTCATTTCAAGGGTAACGGATAAATGCTGTTAGGGGGGTAAATATATTACTTAGCAACCCATCCTGACTATTGTCTGAACCTCTTAGTGTTGTAAAAGCATGCAAGACATTTTTATAAAGCTTTAGCACTGTCTGAACCCTACTTTAAAATGTGTAAAAACTTTGTGAATCTGCAAGGAGAGATTGCACCATGTTTTTCTTCTTCACATCTACACCATATTGGGCCAGTTTGAGAATAAAAAAACACTATATAAGGACATTTACTCTTGCCAAATCTGGACTAGACTATCCAAACAGTTACAGATTTGTGAAAACTTTATTCTATTTAACCCATTGCAAATGCATTACATGTCCAGCATTTCTACAACTATTTTAGCGCTATTATAGGTTGCATTGAGGAGAGCGTGGTTACATCACCAGCTGACTGTCAGGTAAACTTTGATCTGTCAGACCTCTCTGTGCTCACACATGCTAAACTGCTAGCCACGTAGCTCCACTAACAGCCTCCCTGAGACGATGACAACCGACAAAACGACTGCAAAACAAACCCCTGCGAGGTGAAAAACACATTATCAGTAATGTAAGCTGTGAGAGTACCTTGACTTTGTTCAGAAGAATGTGCTTTGAGGTAGTTGTCCTCAGTCCTCTTGATGCAGCCTGGGATGCCATGGAAGCCGCCATGTTGACACGGAAGACCAGAGGAAAAGTGATGACGTTGTGAGCATGTGCGAGTTTATCAGAGCCGTTCATAGGTCAACTGGCAGACAGGGGCGGGGCTTAAGAGGAGGCACACACAAGTCCCAATGTTTAATTTGCACAATGTACTCAAACTAAGGAGAGGACAAACGTAATACAATAGTAAATTAATATATCTGAAATCCAGGCTGCAGATTTGTATATGAATTTAAGATAATAATATGACTCAAATTAATAAACACAAAAAAGTAAACTTCTTAGGAAGAATAATTACTCATATGTATTCTTTATTGCATACGTTTTTATTTTTAGAATAAATAGTTTATTTGACTTTGAATTATGTGTTATTATCGTTCTTACTCTTATGATGATTATTAGTATTATAAGTATTACTATTATAAGTATTATTATTAGTAGTAATAGTAGTATTATTATTATTAGTAGTAGTAGTAGTAGTAGTAGTAGTAGTAGTAGTAGTAGTAGTAGTAGTAGTATAGTAGTAGTAGTAGTAGTAGTAGTAGTAGTAGTAGTAGTAGTAGTAGTAGTAGTAGTAGTAGTAGTAGTAGCAGCAGTAGTAGTAGTAGTAGTAGTAGTAGTAGTAGTAGTAGTAGTAGTAGTAGTAGTAGTAGTAGTATTAGTAGTAGTAGTAATAGTTGTGGGGGAAACTTCTGAAGCAATTGGAGTCAGGACTCAAAGAGACACGAGGAGAGCTGGAGCTTTGATGGCAAACACTGACGGTTTATTTGGAGCTTCAGCCGGAGAATTCACAAGACATGTCACGGGCCACGGGTTGACCACACGGTTGAGATGCCACAATCAATTCTGAAGAACAGTGGCGGTTCTAGACCAATTTGACTGGGGGGGCCAGGCTGGGGCCAGTTATTTTCTGAGGGGGGCACAATAAATGCAGGACGAAAAAGAAAAAGACAGTATGAAGTAATTTTGCGCATAAGAAAACAATGCAATACAGTTATTGGTATTTGTTTCAGTACACATATTTATTTCAGATACTTATAGTTACAGTTTTTACGCTCTAATGAGTCCGACTAGAATGACAAATATCGTTAGTTCTGTCTATTCTGTCAGCCAAGAAATTGTTTAATCATAAACTTTTTTTTCTTTTTCTTTCTTCTTTTTTCATTTTCAGGGGGGCCACAGGAATTGGAACCGCCCCTGCTGAAGAACCCTCCTGTAGTTACAGGTTTTAACTAGTTCAGAGTGTAATAATCAACATTCTTCAATAGATAGACTAAACAGCTGAGGACACTGAATCACATTTGTTGTCGCTTATGGCTCGGGGTCATCTACACCCCGAGAAGGATGTGTTCCAGGTGTCCCACAACAATAACTACTCCATGGTCCAAAGCTGATAATTAAAATTAAAAAATGACAATATATGAAAAAAGTTGACAGTGTACTTACATTTGACAACCAAACACAAGTGTATTCTTTGAGAAACAATCTACTGGAGAGACAGGATTATAATATATATTTTTAGACTACAGTAACTGCTTTGAAGCTTGGAATCCGGAGGATAAACTGAATTAGGACAAATGAACAACTTATATTTAAATATGTTAGAACATTATTTTGTGTGACATAAGTGATGCTTATATCTGAGATTACCCAGTGAGCTTTCCTTTTTGTATGTTTCGGTTAGCTTTGTTGTGGATTCATGTCAGGATGTGTGTGTATTTATTCAAATACCAATGTTGGAAATCTAATGGGATATTATATAAATAGAAAATGTGCATATGTTTAAACATTCATGAGGCCAATATGTATTTATTTATAAGATATTTTGCTGTAAATTGTCAACGGGTATTGAATCATTTTTGGTGTTTTGCTGATTAAAGTGTCTAAATGCGTTTTTGCCCCTCATTGTATTGCGGCTTTTCGAGCAAGTCGTTACAAATCCCATAAGTGATGGAGAACATTATGTGTGCATCAAGCACACGCACACATACTATTTATTTGTTCATATTTAGGGCAGTATGCTGTAGTGGAAAAAGAAATAAAAATGTATTTATAAATCTAAAATTAAGGCTGCACTGAGAGGGCATGAATTATGTGATGTTGTGTTATCTGTTTATTGTGACTAACCTAAAATAAATGTATATACCAGACACAACTGTTATAACTGTCTACTTCATCACTTTAATACATTCACTTACATTTATAATGCTTTTACTTGTATTTTCAATCTTGGATGTGCACTGATTTGATTAGAATTTTATTAAGGAGTGCTTGCCTTTTTATTCAATATATTAGTGTACTCTTTTGTTTTGTCTTTTATCTGCCCTGTACCCTTTGCTGAAACAGTACAGCAATACATACAAATGTGTAAATGTACATTTATAAACGAATAAAGGATTTCTGATTCCGATTCCGATTTCTGACATGAAACAGAAAGGTAATTAATTACTTATTCATTAATTTGACAGTGAAGTCTGCACATTGTTTCTGATTGAAAACATATCTTTGTTTTTCATTGTGATTTATTGTAATTTAGGAAAACTGATACTTATTACTGTAACTAACTACTAATCTTCCCAGTACAAAAAGTATTCTTACTTTGCTCCACACTGAAAATGTACAACAAAAGAAAACTCTTATATGTATATCTAATTAATATAATTTGATTTTTGTATGTTTTTTGTACTATTTGCTGATTGTTTTCTTGACTTTTACTAGCAGTGTTTTTATAGTATTAGTTCTAACACTTTAAATAAAAAGGGTTTTTTTTCACCACTGGTTGAATAATCAAACTGCTCATTTTAATAACACAGTATAATGCAGATGAGTTTACACTAAAAGGCGCAGCATTGATTTTAAATGTCTGCACCGCTTCATCCATGGTGTGACCTTGTGAGCGGGACAAAAACAATCACTGTGCTCAGCTGAGAGCTATTGGTCGGGAGTGGAGTTAGAGAGCGTGGGATGTGTGAGCTGATCTTGTCTGAATAGCTAAATAGCCCACTCACACAAGCCTCCAGAGCCCTCATTACATGCCGCATCTTGAAAGGGCAGAGAGGGCAAACCGATCATAAAGAGCAGTGATTATGACAGGGGGGGAGAGAGAGGGATGAGATACTCACTTAGAAACCATGAGTGTCAGCAGGCTAGGGAGGACAAGACAGAGAGGAGACGATGATGAAGTGCTACATCCAAGAGTTCTCTTTTTTTTTTTTTAAGTGCGGTTATAGTCCAAAAAACTAAATCTACATTGTAAAACCTTGACAAACTTTTAAAATGTGTAAATGTAAACCACTTTAACGACAACTGGGAAGGAATCTCTCATGTTTATTTGATATTTTGGCTCTTAACCCTTCTTTTGGGTGAGGGCTTTTGATAGTCAGTGATCCATATTGCTCACAGGGAAATATTCTTTGACGGTTAAGAGCACAAATGAAGTGAAAAGTGCTGCACTGGCATAATGTTTTTGGTATGTCAACAAATTATTCTGAATGTGTAAAAATGTGTCCCTTTGTGTCAGTGAAGAGTGGCGCTCAACTTAAGTCTAAGGCTTGACTTTGAATCAAAGAGAAGCAGAATGACTAAAAGATGATTCACGTGAACATTTCCAGGCTTATGTTTCTTTATACTTTGTCTCACCAGGGACGCTTTCTCCTCTCAAGAGAATTGGTATTCAGACAGGGCCGTCAGAATATCAATGACCCTTACTAATGCAATTCAACTTTTCTCATTTTAGATGTTGTCCTGTCTCGCAGAACAAAAACTGCTTTTGTCCGCCGAGATGGAAATGGTCTCATTGTCCTCCTAGAATACAAAGCAACTATAGTGCTGCTTTTTTCTTGTTTACAAACCGTCTTAAATTTAAGACACAATTTGAATTTCAATGGGCACTTGAAAACAGCACATTTTTCTCTCATTTGGGTAGGGTATATAGCTTGTGGGCTGCCTTTAAAGGTTGAATTAACACAAAAATCAGATGAAATTAAAAGCTTACAGACAACAACATTTTAAGGATGTTGGCTAAAATATCAAGCCATTGCCAAACAATAGCTGTTATATTATAATATCATATAAATGAGTTAAAGGGGACCTATCATGCAAAATGCACTTTTGTACGTCTTTTATACATGAATATGTGTCCCCGGTGTTCCAGGGAACTCACCAAGTGTCAGAAAACACAACCCTCTCTATTTTCCTCCATACCCAAATCTCTAAAAAAGGGGCTGCAACGGATCTGATACAGACTGATCCAGATTTGAACACTTCTATGACGTCACAGAAGTGGCGCTATGGCTATTGGGCCACCAATCAGGAGGAGACAGCCACGGCCATTGCCGTTCGAAAGCGCTGGAGACGCTGTAGTACATATGCCAGGCCAGTAGATGGTGCTGTTCTCACTGAATCTGCCCTTGCAAAAACAGCTAGAAATTGTCAAATTGAGCAAAATGAGGCATGGCTGAAATGCATGATCTGTTTGGTATTTTGAAAAAAAAATATGCCTTATGTAGGTATGGTCCTACACTATATTATTCAAATATAGCATGATAGGTCCACTTTAAGTTGATGACCTAGTAACTCTTACTCCTATCTTTATTTTGTCTTCAGTGGCAAAGGTTACAATCTTTATTACGGTCATTTTGAAGGAGTGTCTTGTACTCTAACTACAATCGGCAGCGATGGAAGCTGATGGACAGAATGACGAGAAAATGCTAGGTGACGTGCATTGAAGGAAATATCTTTTTATGAACTATTATAAAATAAAAGTACAAACCATCAAATTGTTATGTTTTGACAGAACTACTAATTTTACCTTGCTGATCATCGAGAAAAAACATCCCTTTCTTTCCATTACGTTTGTGACGTGACCATGACCAGCAGAAAATAATTGAAAAGCATACTCGTCTACCAGCAATGTGGAAGGAGTCTATTTCCTAAGCAGAGTAAAAAGAAAACCTGCTAATTCAGGTGGAAAAGGTTATTAGTGACCGTGTGGCAAATTACAATGTGGCATGTCACATTTC